TAGTTGACTTGATGCATTGCACACATACATTCATTCAACACCTACATTGCTTACACATATATGCTGTATCACTGCTTTTTATCATTATACAGCAACAAATATATGCTTCACATTATTGATGACTGCAGAAACCCATATTTATTGGTAAGTTATCCTTTTGCCTGTATAGAGGCAAAATGTTATTCGACGAACTAATGGTAATTTTAAATTTTTTAAAATGGAAAACAAAATTTAAATCATAATTTATTATATATTTAAGCAATATTAATGATATATCGATATTATTATTTGGATCAAAAAATAATTGCAAGAGTGACGTTGGCGCAGTACGCATGCATGCATCCATTTAAAGTTGAATTGAATTGGGTCTACTTGCTTCTATTAAAATAAGGGGACATTCTTTCATACTCTCTTCTTGGGTTCTTGGGTCACTCTTCCTATTAAAATGCCCTTCATTTTCATTATGCGAATATTAACATGTATTTGAATTTCTCTTTTTATTTGTTAAATATAATATGCAGTTTTAAATCATTCATAAACTTTGCGTAAATTCTTAGGAAATTTTTTTATATATTTTTTTTTTTTTATTATTTATCTAATCGAACATAATAAGCAAATGAAAACAAGAAAATAGCAATAATGATGTATGTTTGTTTTCTGATTCTCTTCGCTTTCTTTGGCATCGAAAACTCGAATTTAATAAAAACTCCGAAAGTGCTGAGAGCATTTCATTATCGAAACTAATTGAACTACGTTCTCTTTTGCAGACATAAGTGAACGCGCGCGTAGACCTGCAAATACGGCAGCAGAGGGTAAAGTGTAAGCAGAAATGCTTGCGATGGTTTTGTGTATTGTTAAGAAAAGATGCCAATCGAGCCAAAACAAAATAAAAAGCAAAACAACAACGTAAACATTACGATGTACATTGTTAAGGTATAAATCATAGTCGCATACCAATAACAGCTAAGGTAAAAATTATTACCAAAACACAACATAAATGAAGGAAATAAAAAAGTGATGTTAATTTATTCATTTGTGTTGTGAGATTCGGCGTATTTTCTTGTTTTTTTTTTTTTTTTTTTTTTTTTTTTTTAATTTAAACATTATTATTAAAAAAGGATTTCATTTATATAAACGAAAATTTCTATGCCGGGATAAATGCAAATTGCTAACTTATCTGTCGCAGTGGGAAAAAATGACAGATAATGCTGAACTCCGTGATTACCAACGCCAGGTTACCAACTGCAACAATGGCATAGTATATGATAAAAATATTAATAAACAACAAACCGTCATAAATGGTTATAAATCATATTTAAAAAAATTATTCCAAGAAGCATCTCGATTGAAAGTTGTTATGAAGCTAAAATATCCTTGTGCGGCAAATATCTACTTGGCCTAGACATGATTCTTATTCTTTCTTAAAATATGATCACAAATTACTGATGTCGTCGCTGTGGTCACACTTTTCCCACTCCCGTGGACACCGACTTCTTAACCATCAATTTATTGCTAAAACAATCAATATCGCATCGGAATTTTACTTTTAATTTAGGCATCTACATAATAAAAAAAAAAAAAAAAAAAAACCACAAAAAAAAAGAACGAACATTGCAATGGAAGTCATTAAGTGAATTTCATTGATCTAAAACGAGGAAGGCTTAAGTCCACTTATATGCATTAAAATTTTATTTTCTTAATAAATTTTGCAAAAAGTTTAAATTTGCATTGAATTGAGTTTTTAAATAACCACAACTAATCTATGTTAAAATGATGACAGTCTTCAATAAATTTTGGGTATTATATCCTTTACGCATCTATCGACACATATGTAAGGTATATAGTACGTTTTCTCTCACTCCTTAATACCAAATATTGCGTATTTCAAGTTAGAATAATTTTAACTGAATAAAAATATTAGAAATGTTTAGTAGAAACGCGCGGTTATTGGCCTACGACAAGTTATAAGATATTTAAAATCACATTTTTAAATTATTTAGCAGAGTATTTCAGCAGTAGTAATCCTGGAGAAATGGCTGTTCGTTGACTGAAATTTATTAAACCCATTTATTCCCTTCCTATACTTATGGTCATGGAAAGTTCATATCAAAAAATAATAAATAAAATAAATAAATAAAATAAGCGTATATTCGTTCTCATTTGTTTTGCATGTATTCCGCTTTGAGAATGAGCGTATATTCGTTCTCAATTGTCCAAATAGTTGTGTTTCTAAGTTGAGAATACACCGAAACGCTAATTATGGCTCAAAATTGCACTTTTGATCTTCATTGCCAAAAATATGGTAAAACGTTGTTGAAAATAGTAGAAAATATTGTGGTTTATATAATTATTCTCAATAAATGCCTTTTTCAAGTGAGAAAATAACTAAAATTAATGCAACAACCACCTACGCTTTGGTGATGTGAATATGAAACTTTAATTTCAATTCGCACTTTTCCATGATTAGTACGCCGACGAGAAGTGCTGGCAAAAGAAATTATAATAAATTTCGCAACGTAAACTGGACTAATGATGATAATTATCTAATTTAGAACAGAGTAACTATATTCTTCATATACTTTTTTTTGAATAATTTTTATCTCAAATAATATCTCATTTTCTCACTTTTTAGAGTAAAGATGTTTTAGTTACACATGAGATTTTTGATGATTACGGCAAAGATTATTATTATTATCACGGAGGCGGGAAAACAAACCAACCATAAGAACCATATCTTAACTAGTTTTTTTTTCTCCATCATTTGCGGGTAACTTTTAAGCCGATTTATAGCAAATTTTAATTTTTAAAAATAAAATGAATATATGAATGTATGTGTACTTCATATTACATTATAACGATTTCACAAAACGATCTATTATCGAACGTCTCACAACAGTTGGCAACAGTGACGGTAAACAAAATAAAATCATATACAATCTAAACGCACTTTGTCAGCTTTTCAAAAACGACAGGTAGAGAGAGGAACATAGTTGGTTTAAGACCAACTTCATAAGTGCTATATATAAGAGTAAATGCATTTATTATTATATAGTTAATTTTCAATCAATATAAATAAGAATGGGATGGGTATTTCAAGGATGGGTTTCCCCTGAAAAAGACGTTCCGATCACCGGGTATCAAGATTGTAATCACGCGTAATCCGCGAAACTTTGATGAAGAAATCATTCTTCAAAATCGTATCGAAGAACTGAGAAGAAAGGAACGTAGATTTACACATAGTTACACTTGTCGCATCTACAAAGACGATCTACATAGTCCACACATAGTCAAAAGTGGATATTATCAATGTAGAGACAATCGGATGATAAAAAAAAAAGAAAAAAATAGGCACTGAAGCCAGCTTTGGCCTGATCAATTAATTCGATAGTAAGCAAACAACATATCTAAAGTATATAAACAGAAAAATGAATAAAAACATTTGTCTTAAACTCGACACAAGTGTCTTCTCAGGAAAATTTTATAGAACGTTTAAATGTAAAAATGACTCAAGTTTGTTGATTAACACGCCCACGTTGATTCCTACGCCTAATAACTATAAATTTGGATAAAATGGATTTGAATGTATAGCTTTCAACGGCAAGAATAAATTCCGAATAAATCGTAATACACATATATGGAATGTAGAGTTTTTCAATTGATTTTCATTTGAAACGAGCGACGAAATATTGCAATGGTTATTGAAGTTAGTTGCATAGCATCTGAACGACGCAATAGTCGAATGTATGTATGTACTTATTTATACAGTATTGGTAGTTGCAGGTATAAAATTGTTGGAGTTTATTTCAAAATCTACTTCATTTACATGTTCGTAATGTTTTGTCAGAGGCTTTATATTAAAGAAGGCATACCTTTTCCTTATTCTTTATAACCCTACGATGGTTGTGGTGTACGTAAGAAAATAAGTCAAAAAGGTGTTTCAAGTGTGCGTTTTATAAATACAAAAAACAGCAACGAAAATATCTGAAAACAATCTTGAAGCCAAACAGTACAAAGTGTTACTTTGTTGTGTGTTTCGTATAAATTGTTTTTTTTTTTTTTTTTTTTTTTCTATTTTCAAGTTGTTCTACTTGTTTCGGAGAATAAACGTTAATTCAACATAATACTCAAAACTGGATCTGAGCGCATAGAAGATACCATATAATTATTGTTGTAGCTTTTGCCACTGGGGCTCTAACAAATAGTGATGGTAGAATTAACCATAAGAAAAAACCGTCATAATTAGTGTTTTATTACTTCTCCTTTTCTCTCTCTCTCTCTCTCTCTCTCTCTCTATTTCTCTCTATCTCTCTCTCTCTCTTTCTGTCTTACTATCTATATATCTATCTATCTTTCTCTAACTCTTTTTCTCACTTCCTGTCCATCTCTCAATTTTAAATTCTGGTTCTCTCCGCTATATTCGTATACTTGTGACTGACGATTGTCTCCTCATACACATGCAAATCTACGGGTAGTTATTCCACTCATAGAGCATGCTTAGTGTGCTTAGTGTTTTCAAGTTGGTCCGTCTTAGACTGGTCTATATGATATGGATGCATTTATTCCCGCAACGTACCGCGCCTTTTCTGGCAAACAGCCTCTGATTGCGAAACCAAATTTAGTAGTTATTTTAGTAGTTATCTACCTTTGGTGAGCTCGGTTTGTTTTAAGATACCAGCACTAGACCAGCTAGTTGTTTGCCTTTTTCTTTTTTCTTTCATTTTTTACTCTCTTTAAGTTTCGCGTGTCAAAGAAAAAAACAATTAATGTGAACAAATTAAACAAAAAACAAAAAAAAGATCAAAGAAAGTCTAAACATCTACATTTACGAAAGAAAAAAAAAAGGGAAAAATTATTTATATTAACGGAAATGAAAGAATATCTGTTACCCCTTTGTTGTGAGCATTTGAAATAAAAAACAAAAAAAAAAAAAAAAATAAAAACCCAAATAATATATTTTTTGAAACTTTTCAAAAATGTTATTCAAAGAAAAAAGAAGAAACTACCACACAGTTTATTGATTTTATATGTTTGGCATGATTGTGCATGAATGCAAAAAAAAAAAAAATAGCATATACTTACTAACATCACAAAATTAAAGCGGAGAGAAAACTAATTCACCATAACGTCGTTGCCGAAGAGTGGTAGAAAATGGTGAATTGTTTAATGTGTGTAGTGTTAAAGCACAACACATCATCTTACATGTATAAATATAAATGGATATACGTTAATGGGTTTGTGTGTTCTTACCACACAAGTTTAAGAGTCCGATAGGCCGTTAAAAAGGAAATCTAACCATTCTAGGAAAGGAGTGTAATAATATATATATCTTTTAAGCAAGGGATATATGTATGTATAGATATATATATATATAAAGAAGAAAGAAAAATTTTTGTGCAATTTCAATATAAAAATTTAAAAAAAAAAAAATTTTTTTTTTTTATATCGTTTTTTACAGAAAAACATGTTTTTACATAACGAACATTTTTCACTTAGCATTGTTTGACTATTCATGTGTATGTTTGTGCGTATATACATATATGAATATACATAAATATAAATATATATATAAATATATATATATATATATATATATATATATATGCATACATGGCTAGGTAATATTTTCGCATTATTGATTATTTTGCTAAACAAAGTGAGAAAGATAAAAATAAAAAAAGAAACACAAGAATATATATATTTTCCGTCCCTGCTTGATCTCTGGATTTTTTCTTATCTTAAATAATTTGAAAAAAAATTTCAACTGAAATCTTCAAGTAAGTATGTTAATTGATTTTTCACTACATCAAAAAAAAATAAAAATAAAATAAAATAAATAGATAAATAAACAAATAAACAAACAGAAGCGAGCTTAACAATATCTTTCAATATTTTAATTAGAAACTTCATTCTTTTAATAACGATTTCTACATTAAAACAAAATGCCGGTTTTTTTTTGTTTCCAATTGTAACGAAAAATATATATTTATGAAAATATTTCATTGGTCGGAAAATCTCTTCACGTACCGTACGACTAAAGGGGTTGGTGAGGGAGACGGATGGAGAAGATGGTTGGGAGAGTGTGTGGGG